ACAATTGACACAATTCCTGAGACAATTGTAACATGGAAAAATTCACTTTGTGAGACTCAAATGAAACCAATTTCCAGAGACTGACTTAGGCATTTAGTTGTAACTATCACACATCATACACCACAACTATAATCTTATGTTCCAACCAGTCAGATTACACAAGTCTTTGTCATACTCAGTTGTGTTGCTGCTCTAGGTCTGGCCAAAGATCTTACATCTTCAAAGAGAAATTGGCAGCATATGGGCAATGAACTCCTTATAAGGAAATTCTGTAAGTGCTGAAAGCATGCCGTGCTTTCACAAGAGTCATTGTTTTTACATTGTTGGCAATGAAGCTTCCATTAATACCTTGGAGTGTTTCAAAGTGGAGATAGGACTTTCTGTTGCTCATGCTCGTTAATTCTTTGTTCCCTATTCACTGTGTAGATGGTTCTGTCTTTTTTTTTCTTTTCACTAATGCTACCTGTTTTATATTTTTGTCTTTGAGCTTTAATTCACTCCTGTGTTTGCTTTTTTGTGTTAGCAAGTTACCCTGTGGTTCTGTAATCTTTCTGGAGTAATTTTGAGGTTGGAAGTATATTTAATTGTGTATGTCATAAAGGACATGGCTTTTGAAATAGGTAAATAATAATCCAAACTGTGTCACTTACCTCTGTGACAGTGTTAGACTATTCACTTAATTCTTTGAAGCTACAGACTCTACCACTTAAAATTTTAAAGTTTATTAAAACATCAGCAAATGTATGAAACATAGCTGAGATACAAGTTTCCAAAAGCAAAGTATAAACAAATTACATGAAAGCATTATTCTGAAAAAGAAATTTTAAGCATCAAAATAACCTACCTAACATGCAAAACTAATTGGAAAGTTTAGAAATATATTTGTCCCACAAATATGCATTGTAACTGTCAAGTTCACAGTATGCTTGCAAGCAGTATGCATGCAGATCAGAGTTCAGAACTGGCTGTGGGAAACAATTCGTGGGATGGGTCCCCAAGGCACCGTAACTGCCAGGCTCTCCACTAGGCATTTTGCACAAAATCCATAAAACATTACTTTAGGGTAGATTCCTTGGCCTCTTTCTGCAAGGTCTGTGTTCCATTACAACGTCACGCTGTGAAAAGGGCTGACTTTTACTCCTGGCAGAGGGAAGCTTTTTGGTATTTCATCAAATCTGGGATATCATTTCTTGTAAAACACATCATTATTTTACATACCACTCAGAAAGATTCAAAGGCTGCCAATTAAATTATGGCATTCTTTTCTATCTCTTAGAATTTTCTATTGCAAACATGCTAAGAAAACCCATTCAGATTTACTTGGGGTTGTATATCATGCATATGCCTCTATAAAAAAGAAAAATATAAACAAGATAAATAGGGGAAGGTATTTGAAGAGCTTTTCCACGTTTCCAGATGAGGCATCCTAAATCATGGATAAGAATCTTAGATGGCTGTGTTTCCCCACAGCAGCAGCATCTCTGCATTGGGAGTGCAGATGATACAGAATTTCTTACTGGGGGTACCCCTATGGATCGCAGTACTTTTTTTCTGAGCCAGTGACACAATTTTGCAAGGTCTTGTGCATATGAACAAACAGTAACATCTGTAATGTGAATGACACCTAACCAAGACCAATTACAAAACATATAACTTAGGAGTTCTAAAAATGTGAAGACCTACACACCTGGAAATCAGGGAAACACTGTGTTCAGTGCACGGATTGTGACCCAGGCAGAATCTCTGAAACTGATACTTCCTAAAAGGTGAAACAATCATAGACTATGTTTTAGGTTATGCAATCATTTTCTTCTGATGTTCCCTTTGCTCCATATTTCAGTAGTAGAGGGTTCTCTAATTTTATTCTTTAGGGGATCTGTGTCTCATTCATCACTTGCTTAAACTCCACAAAACAAAAATATAATCAGTAGCCAACAAAAGATCCTTCTCACATAAGAGGGTCCTGAAGTGGGAGAACTCCAGCAAATGTTAAATATCAACTCAATTAAGAGTCTGAGTTAAGGAATTTTCTAGATCATATTGGTCTGTGTGTCCTCTGTGGGAAATTATCTTGACTGTTAATTGTTATACTACTACACAGTACCCTGCCTAGGCAAGTTATCTTGAACTCTATAAGCTAGCTTGGTATCAGCCAGATAGCAAGCAGCATTCTTGGTTTCTACTATACTTCTTTGGCTGTGAATAAGAACCTTGGTTGGAGGTAATGCCATGAGGAATAGCAAGCAAGCCTGCCTTCAAACCCTGACTTGAGTTCTTGGCTGTTCACAATGACAAACTGTGATGTAGGATTATAAAAGATAGAACTATAACCTGAAATAAACTCTTTGCTCTCCTAAATTCATTTTAGTTCGAGTAATTTATCACAACAACAGGAGTGAAAATAGAACAAACTGATTCTCTCAAAAAGGGAAAGGAAGGTAAATTGAAGAAAGAGAATAAAATGAGGAAGAGAAAGAGGAGGAAGGAAGAGAAGAAAATGAAGGAGGAAGAGGAGGAGGAGGACAAGGAGGAGGAGGCTCTAGAGGTCATTGAGATGGCTCTGTGGATAAGAGATCTTGCTACCAAGCCTGAGGACCTGCATTCCATACCTAGAACCTACATGGTGGAGTAAAAGCGAACTCCACAAATTATCCTTTGATGTCTACAAGCACACCATGTAACAAGTGCACCTACAATACATACACGTGTGCCCATGCATATAAACACACACACACACACACACAAAATATTCGTGTTTTCTTTAACTATTAATTCTTTCTATTACTAATCAAAGGGCTGGGGTTCTTTATCTCTTTATGGGTAGAAATCATGAGTAAGCAAAGGGTAGCTTCCTTGATGCTAGCCTTCCAAGCTTGGAGATATTTAGGATCTCGAAGTGTCTCCATCGGTGATGTAGCTTCATCAGAGCATGAAGATGGCCCCCAAGAAGCCTTGTGCATCCTGATGGTGGAAATGCAAGCCATGAAGATTCAGGGAAATGGCTCTCCCTTCCACACTGGGCTGAGCTTCAGCACTAGGAGCCCTCAAAGCCCGCCTATACAGTGACATGTTTCCTCCAACAAGGTCACACCTATTTCAACAAGGCCATACCTCCTAATAGTGCCACTTCCCATGGCCCAAGCATATTCAAACCACCACAGCAAAGGAAAGATATGATATATGCAATTTAAAGAAAACTATTAATCCTTTCTATAGTACATAGTTAAAGACTGATCTGGGAAGTGATGATGAATGTAGCAAATGAAAATAAATTGAAATTCTTTTAGATTGTATAAGATGTGAATGGGACATTTTTTAAAACATGTCCTTTACTGGATCTATTATTTTTTTTTTATTTTTAATGATCTAAGCTAACACTGGACCAACGACCACAGCTAAGAAGGCACCCAATCACAGCCTTTCCGTACATGAACTGCTCACAATAGTATAGAGGGACATAAAGAACAAAACTAAAGTAAAAATGATAAGGATTATATCAACTGAAGCCCAACCCCTCCCCCCAACGGGGCAGGTGCTACGTCACCCCACACAACCGCTGCCAAATTATTAGATTTTCATTTTTACTTCTTTTCTTCAATATAACATTTTTATTGATTCATTATGAATGTCACATCAACCCCCCCAATCACACTGACTTCCCAGACCTTCTATGTCCATCTATCTCACACCAGTGATGCCCCTCCAACAACAACAACAGCAACAACAACAACAACAAACAAGTTTAATTTGTATTGTCTATTTATGCACTGGAGTGTGGTCAAACTCTTTGTGGATTGCCTCTTAAATAGAACTGACTCAACCGGGCAGTGGTGGTGCACGCCTTTAATCCCAGCATGTGGGAGGCAAAGGCAGGTGGATCTCTGAGTTCGAGACCAGCCTGGTCTACAGAGTGACTTCCAGGACAGCCGGGGCTACACAGAGAAACCCTGTCTCGAAAAAAACTAAACAAAACAAAAAATAGAACTGAGTCCTTCCCCTCCCACACCCCTGCCAGAAGCCATCTATAATGGAGAGCTACACTGCAGAATCTTTATCATACTTTTTAAAGAGTGCTTTTTAATAATTTCCTGTTTATGCTGTTCTTAGGGGAGTCTGGTGAGAATAGAAAATGTCACAGAAGTCTTCCATGTTCCTCCTTTTCAACTGTGTGTCTGCAGTAATATCACTGCCAAAGTAGCTTTCTTGTTATTTGTAGTCAGAAGGAGCATGATTTATGGGCCTCCACATGGTTTCTGGTGACAGCATAGACCCGAACATGTCCCCATCTCCACCAATGGCTGCAGTAGGACCATGAAACAGACCTAGATGAGGCCCTTGGAGTCAGACATCCACATGGTCTGATATGGCAGCACAGACCACTTACCTCAGCAGCATAGCCCTCAGACATCAATATGGTCTCAGGCTGCAGCACAGACCAGATATCTGCTTGGCCTTGAGTGGTAACATGGACCATGAACATCATCACAGACCCTGCCTACAATAGGACCATGGACTCCAACATGGTCATTGGAGGTAGCACGGGTCTGGACATCAGGTGGCAATGCAGGCCACTCATATCTGTATAGCCCCGGTCTGTATAAGTGGCAGATAGTTTGGTGCAGATGGAAGTTAGGTATGAAATTTGTTGATTTAAAGTGTTCACAACTGCTGCAGAGATTGACAACTTATCAAATATTTTCTTTGGCTCTTTAGAAATCTACACTTCCTAAGCTTCTGTGCTTTGGAGTCACGTGACTAGTGTCCAGCTGATGGTAAGAGATGATTGACGTGCTCTCCTTAGGGGACCAGAATACAAAAGCACATGTATTCTTTCTTCTTGCACAGCCTATGACATTGATAACCTAAGCATCTCTATCAGGCGCAAGTTGAAAATACTTGCATTACCTTCAACTTGAATGGCATTGGCACTCTGCATTCTGGGCCAGAACTTGGAACAGTCATCTTGTCAAAGTGAGAGAGAAGTAAGCTACAGTGAAGTCTTCGTATTTCCACTGATTAGACCAGTTTAATGGGTGCTAACAATACATTTACCATCATCAACCAAAAAAAATTACACAGGATTTAGACCTCAGAGGCCCCCATTTTGGAATCTTCCTTAAATATTTTTGTTTTTAATTTATCTGTTGCAATTCAGAAAAGTGGGATATTTCTCCATTTTTGTTCACATCAAATCTCTTAGCTTGTGTTTTGAAGAGAAATATAAGTTAGCCGCTGTTTCTTCCCGTTATAATCTCCCTGTCTGTAATTACATTTCTTCTTTTATCCCCCCCTGTTCACTATCTTTTACTTTTAATGTTTTCTTTACCTGACTTTTCACGCCTCTATAAAGGACCATATGTATATGTCCAAGATCATTAACAGATCCATACTCCTACTGACTTGATTTTCTTGAGTTCTTTGTCTTAACAAAACTTTTCATGGTTTATACTAGACAACAAAAAGTATTACTAAATGAATTCTTACAAAAAGATTTGCTGTCACAAGGACTCTGTCACATGGCGTTGTACAGAGGCTGAAGGAGGAATGAAGTGCCTAGACTTTCTTCCCATTTTCTCTCCCCTCTTTAACCCAGATTCCTCATAGATTCATTTCCGGTGGTAGAGAGTTCTTCCTGTAACAAAGGACAAAGATGTGGTGATGACCTTAAGTTAGAATTCTCAACGTAAGTCTTTACAGAGGTCCCACTATCAGTGGAGGAGCAAGTGTCACAGTGCTGTTAGCACTTGCCATGGACAGAGGCCTCAGCAAGAGCTTCCCTTGTCTAAGCCTCTTGTATAAACTACTAACCAACAATACATTGTCTGTGCAGCAGCTGCTGTTCTAGTCAGCAAACAGAGAAATGTATGATTGTCCACGGAGTTCTGAAAGTCCAACAATAAATGACCTGAGGATTCTGATGCTGACAGTTTGGCTCCAGTCTAACTCCAGAGCCCTTTCTCAAAAGCATTGAGTAAAAGAAGGGACTTTTTAAATTACTCATGCTCCTGGGTAACAACCAAGGTCTTTTGACTCATGATGCAAGGCTTTCTTTCCGTAGACCCAACTGCTGTTAGCAATTTTTTTCTCTTCTTCCTTCTCTTTCCATGCCTTTCTTCCTTCCTTTACTTCTTTTTTCTTTTATAAATTTTTCAAGAATTGATTCTTTATTAGTTTTGTGTATGGGTATGCATGCAGATACTCCTGGGCCTCAGTTTGTATGCAGAGGTCAGAGAACAACTTCAAGAAGTCTGTTCTCTCTCCTGTTAAGGTACAGTCTCTCTTGTTTCTGCTATTCAAGCTCCAGGCTCACTGGCTCACTGAACTTCCAGGAGACTCTCTTGTCTTCAGTTCCCACCTTGCTTTGGAGTGTTGAGATTACAGACTTGCACCATAATATCTGCTTTTCTACAGAGAAGCCAGAAATCACATGCAGCTCATCAGCTTGCACGTAAAAGTTTTACCCACTGAAGCCACTGACCTCTCTTTTGTGTTTCACAATATCTCAGGATGAAGCCCAGATTGACCTGATTCTGTGATCCTCCTGCCTCAGCCCTCCCTGCTCCCCACACCCCTTGTTAGAATTGTAGGTACTTACCACGATGCTGTGTTCAGCTGGTACCAAGTCTTGTGGGGAAAAATACTGTGTCCAGTTAGAATTGGATACTGTCTGGCTTACTATGAATACCAACCGCTCTCTCTTGTGGGTGTCTAAAACAAAATGTTGACACTAAGTTTATCATTCTGATGGTATAGCTATAATACAACTTCTAGGATATCTTAAAATGTATCATGTTGAATAGTCTACGCATGTAACATCTAAGTATTTGACTGTGTTTCTGATTTTCATGCAGAGGCTTAACTATCATGAAGATAAGCGTACATGCTTTCTTAGGCTTCCATTTAGATGAGTACTTTGAACAAACACTATAAATTTTTCTTGTTGTTATTGTTGTTGTTGTTGTTATTGTTGTTAGCTTTGAGTGGTATGCTAAAATTCTTGAAACAGAGATCAATATTCAAAACCCTCCCATGGAGGGCATTATTAGCTGGTGAGAAAACTGAAATAGCTTAGTCTCTGGGAACTACATTAGAGGACTAGTCACCTTTGTTATGAAGCAGTCTTTACCTTATGGAGACTATACCATGCCTCTGCCCAATAGGTTATAGTAAGCAGCAAGAGAAGGGTGTGGTGACAGCATGAGGTGGTTAGATTTTTTTGAAGCATATGAAAAAACTATTTGAAACTAAAGTTAGGCTAGCCCATCCTTCCTCGTGGTACCCCAGTATATTTAACTAAGATTATATGTATGTATGTAGTCAAAGAAGAATTGAAGCAATGATCTGGATAAATTTAAACTATGCGTCACTTTCACTGGCAATCGTCCAATAATTTTGGTCCCTTTTGAATTAACTAAAATTATTTAGGCAACTGTGTTGTAATAAATGTTATCTGAGGTATTTATACTCCCCCTCCTTAGAGCATTTAGTTCCCAAATAAAAGACATAAACCTTTATATTTATTACAAGCCTTAAAAGCACTAAAGCTGCGAAGATATCAACCCTCTATGCAATTTTATCTACTCCCTTGTCAAAATCCCCCAGATATCACTTAACCATGTTCCACCTCCACTGCTCATCCTCCAATAGGCTAGCCCTTGTGGCCAGGGCTCATGATTCACTTACTCCATGGCATCTTCCTTCTCAATTCCTCTCTCCTCTCTCTCACATGGTTCCTGCCTAAGACCCCAAACCCGAAAACCTTCAGCTCTGCCTACCTCTCTTCTTACCAGCCTTGGTTGGCTGTAGGGCATCTTTATTAACCAATCGTGGATAACTTAGTAGATAAGATTTACACAACAAAAGCTGGTATTCATGAGGATCTGCTAGTCTTGGAGCAAGCAGATCTTGGGATATAGAATTTAGCGCTTGAATACAAATGGCACCAGACCAACCTCCTCCATAGCTGCTTCAGTGTCCCTGTTCATTTTCTATCTGAATCAATAATCTAACACAAAAGGGAAACCCATAGTTGAAAGTTTGATTGGATAGTTTGATATTTTACTCAGAGCATGAATCCTGGTTGCCTGGAGAAGTCAATTCAATGGAGAGATCATTCTAAAATACCTAAAGCCAGCGTCATTCAATTTCTGGTAAAAGGAAACAGATGAATTGCATCTTAATTACAATGTTCTGGTTCTATCCAATATCATAAAGTTTTGCAAGAAAAATAATATAAATCTTTACCACGCCAGGGCATGGCACAGCAGCCACAATTATTTTAACAGCATTTTCAAGAAGCCTTCTACATAGCAGATAATGTTCTCTCTGTTTCAGAGATAAATGAAGCCAAGGCAAGAATTTAAAAGAAATAATATTTTTTTTCAACATCATATCTTTAATACATGAACCAATGGAAAAAAATTCTTTGCTATCAAATCCAGTATTCTGTAAACTTTAAAGATGCATAAAACATAAAATTTCTAATTAGTAAACTGAAATCCAGGTGGTATTTTAGTGTCTAATATCTTAGAAATATTCCCAGGAATATAATTCCATAATAATAAATTTTATGATGTGCTATCTCTAAATATTTTTGCAAACAAATTACAAATTTTAACTATTTCAGAAAGTCAGTAAGTTCAACTTAACAAGTCCAAACATGAAAAGGACAAAGACTAACAAATCATATTTGAGAATCAATGTTCCCCAATATATAATTCTTGTTATTTCTGTTAGTTACTAAAACAAGGAAATAACAGTGTCATGCAAGTAGTATGTAATGTTATACATAAACCAAGTATTATGGTTGTTTTTAAAATCAACTTGATACAAATTAGAGTCACCAAAGTAGGGAGCCTCAACTGACCAGCTGTCTGATTGTGTTGATTGATTATGGAAAGACTCATTCCGCGTGTAGGTAGTGCCTTCTGGTAGCAGCCCAGGGAAAAAGAAGACCAGCTTGGCCTTCCCTCTTGCCTCTGAGTTGGCATACACAAGTGCTGCCACTGCTGAGTCCTTCAAAATATCAGAACTAGCATTTCCAGGTATTTATTATGGACCTGGGACCAGAGACCCTCTAGGAAACTTTCAGGCTCCCTGCACCAGACTGGGACTTCTGAGTAACTGTCTTACAGATACACAGTGAAAGACAGCTGTTGTAGACTATCTGACTGTTAAGGCATTCATCCTTAAGCACTGAGTATCCAAGTTCTCAGATTCTCAGATGTAATTTGGTATAGTTGTTGGTATAGTAATTTCTGAGGCATGTGTGTGCATGCATGCGTGTGTGTGTGTGTGTGTGTGTGTGTGTTCATCATGTTCATCATGCCCTTTGTTCTGTTCCCCTAGAGAACCCTGATTAAAATACCAAACCTAGCTCCTGGGAGTTGAAACAGAGAGATCATGAGTCTGATGTACCTACCAAGACTATGTTGCAAACACTGAGAAGAAAAACAAAAAGAAAAAATCTGATCATGCAATAGAGTGAGTATAATTTCTAATTTATTCCTTGGATTAGAAAATTAATAAAGACCTGATCCTAACTTTGGAGTTTACAGTAGGTTCCTATCGTTTTTGTTAAGGACTGGGAACTTCCTTTCTTTCCTGTTGTGGAGCCAACCATCTGTTGACAAATTCACCTACAGACAAGGAAGACACACAATTGTCTTGGTAGACATCTACCTTATCTTCTTGTCTTCACTGACTCTCAAACCATTTGGACTGATGACTTCATAACATAGGAGACTTGTGCACACTGTTCTCCTTTCAGAATATAAGCCCAGATCCTTTCTGTTTCTTACAAAGATCTGCTATTCAAACTGCTAACACTCATGAGTGATCAATTGCCAATACGTACAGTTCCTCTGATGCATATCTATGATCAGTTTTATTTTGGATGAAGAGTGAGCACCTGAGGAGACCTCTTTGGGCTGTCCTGTTTGAACCATTGCAGAGTTTCTCTTCCTGGGTTGCATTTTTAGCTAGTTTTGACTGGTCAGTTCAAATCTGGAAAAACAGTGACAGTGGAGTGGGGCGTCAGAGAATGTTTCTACCACTGTCAGCTCCTGTGGTCCACACTCTTCTACTCTTAACTAGCAACAGGATTATATCCCATCTCCCTAACTCCTCAAAACCCTTAACCACACCCCATACCTCCCCACCCTCCCACCTCTGCCTAATGCTGGTTTTTTGGTGACAGGTTTGGGTTTTTTAATTTTTTTGTTTTTTGTTTGTTTTTTTTGTTTGTGGGTTTTCCTTTTTTTTTTTTTTTTTGAGACAGAATCTTACATATAGCCCAGGCTAGTCTCAAAACTCATGATCCCCCTGCTTCGGCTTCCCAGGGACTAAAGAGTACAAGCATGTACCACACCTGGTTGAGAAATCATTCCATCATTTGTTCTATGTGTCCCTTTTATTTTGTTCCTATTTATTGTCTGGGGTCCTTTTAGCCATTACAAGGTGACTGTTCTCTCTCTGCCCTTGAGGTTCTGCCCACACTTCCAAATAATTGCTTCCTTCTGTGTACCTCTTGTATTTAAAAAGCACATCCTAAAAAGCACTTCTGATTGTGTCCCCTAGACTTCAGGCATCCTTTCCCAGGCAAGTTTTTAAAGTCAGATGGTGTTGCCGGCCACCAGCCAGTCTGTAAACAGCAGTTACTCTTCAGTCAAGTGTCCCTCCTTTCCCTAAACCAATTAGCTGTGGCCTTTAAGGTTGGCAACTGTGTGCCTGTGTGTGAGAGTCTGTGGTGAGTGTGCTTTCAACAGGGAGTGAGAGGACACAGAGCACAGCTGTTTGGAGGCAAGCCAAGTATGGCTGCTCCCTTTCCTTAGAGAAGATCCCTAGTCAGGGATGAGGACTTATCATCAGTTGTCTTAATTTGCCATGGGAAAAATAATATGCAAGATATTTATTGAAGACTTGATGTCATATTTGTTTTAAGAATGTGTTGGCTGTGTCTCCATGTACCCTTTCACAGATCTGGGAAAGATATGTGGAGGAGGGGATGCCCAGGGTTTCTCTTGTTCCTTAAACAAGTCAGAGCAGCTTTGCTCATCATAGACTTCAAGTTAGTTTTGCTCTTGTACACACAAAAACTTTGGGGACAGTGCAATTGCAGTATGTTCATCATGTAGCATCATGATGAGGTTGTATGGAGTGTACCTAGAATGTGCCCAGTACCTACATTGATCATGATTTCTTTCCCTGTTTTGACTAGATTTCATCTAACCAGATCTCTTTCCTTCGTACTCATTTGTTTGTTTGTTTGTTTGTTTGCTTTTATATTTCATCACATGTATCTTTTTAAACATCAAGTCTTAATTTCACAAGCAATCAGACACTAGAAAATGACTAAAGCTAATAATTCTTTATTAACACAATTATCCATATATACTGAGCTACATTTCCGTGAGAGCCAGTCATATCATGTACTGATCAAATATGAACAAGTCCTAGTCTATAAAAATACTTCTAAAAATTTTGATGAATAGACGAATTATACAGTTATTGCCAAAATATCAGAAGATGTCAAATTTTACACAGCAAATATCAAGCAAAGTATACAATCAAAAATAAGATCATTTTGGATAAACTATTTACAATGTAATATTGGTAACAATATTGGGATTCTTGGTACCTACAATATCCCTGTTCTTTTCACCCCACCACAGTCATGAATAGCATGAAAGTGGGACTAAGTTCATAAA